TTCGATGAATTTCAGGATTGAAATGACTAAGATATCTAAATAACATTATTCGCATCTTGTGGCTCAAAAAACCAGGGGAAGCTATTCATGTTGGGCCCAGTACTCATGCCTCACGGAAGTTGTACTGACAACTGCAGCTAGACTGCAGACAATTCTTGCTGTCTCAGTCTTCAGGCGAGTGAACGGATTATTGTGGTGTGGTATTCCTGTATGCATTGCTAGTGGCAACTAGCAAACTGAACTTCTGCAACAGAGGACGGCAAAACAGCAGTGGGGTCCCACGGTTTGTTGTGACGTCATAGGCAAACCAGTGGCTAATTGGCCCTACCTCGCACCTTCTCAGTAATGGGGAAAGCTTTGAAGTTCTCTTCCTCCCTCCGAGGACCCCTCCCAGGGGCGCAATCCCGTAATTACGCTACAGGCACGCCGTGTGTGGCATAAACCACTCTGAAACGTTGTTCTTTGTGAGTTATCTGCCGACTCTTTTAGTATCAAGATTATTTAGCGTCGGATGGTGCGATGACTAATGAATAAAGATATAGATATCCCTGTAAGAAGCCGTGGAGGCAAGTATGATTGTGAGACGTAGAGGATCCCACATTTTCTAGATAATCAGCTCACAGTTGGCGGTGAGGTAATCAGCCTTACGCGCCGGCCGAACTTTATCCCAGGAAAATTCCTGGTACTCATTTCGCTCATTTCTGTTAGAAGCTGAGTCGAGCCCAGGGCCGTAGTGCGGCTGGAAGGATTAGGTCAATTGAAAAATGCGTTCGTGGTTCATTGCTCAATTAAGCACAGGGACTTCACCCATTTTTTGTACCCTGATCTACTCTCGTGCATGGCACGTACGAGTAATGCTGCACTGCTGACTTACCGCAGGCTTCGCGTCATCACATGGCTGTCGTAACACCGAATGCTAAGACAATACAAAATACAAGCTCGAAGAAACTTACCCACCGGCAGAATTAATAGTTCCTACAACTAGCCGACGTTTCGGGGCATCTCAATATCTCCGTTTTCATAGTCGAATAGTGACAGAAGCAAGCACCTTACTCACCGACCATGAAGAGAGAGGCAATAAGTTCCTCTAAAATGTCGGCAAACTTCTACAGGACTACACGGCGTCACATCCCATCTCCAGATCCCCAAACCTCCGGAGCGGCTGGACAATACCTCTGTGACAACAGGGTCTAATGTCTGTGCTGATGAAATATAAATCGCCGTGCATTTAGCACCACAACCGCGGTCGGAACACGCGCGACCCCTGGCACTGAATTATGTAGCAACCTGCCTGTTGGCTGTGTAACAAGGGTAGCCTATATGTGGCTGGGGATCTTACGTAACTGAACGTTTCATTTTCGCTGTCGTTGCTTCAGAAATTACAAGCAGCAGAGCTTGCTCTTCGTCAGGCACGGTCCAGATGACCTGTGGAAGAATCTCAGATCTCATTTGGAATCCTATGACGCCGTGTGTTTTCAGATGGCCCAAAGAAAGAAGCAGATGGTTCCTCCGAAATGTTGGCACCTACAAATCTATCAAAATGCACGGTGTCACACCACGAAAGATAGGAATCCTAGTATTCATCGTCGTGAGTTTAAGAAATCTCAACTACGAGTGCACTGTTCGGCAAAGGAATTCGTGTCGACGTGCTGACAGCTGTCAACAGGGCACAACCAATCCCGTAGCTGGATCTCACAAAGCTCCTGTGGCAACACTTCTCCAATTGCTGAGGCTTGATGCGTGGCCATATTGGTCCACGGTTTGTTGGAGACGTGCCGCAAACCGAGGAAAAGGCGAAACTAAGTTCGTTAACATGTTTTTCTCTACCTAATTCATGAATGTGGATGATTCGTTCACTCCATGAATAGGAATTAATATCGAGGTTGCGAAACCTGTTAATTTATATTAAATTTCACTCCTGATTCAAATAATAAACAACGATCCCTACACAGAAGATTGGCTACAACGACATCAATTTGGCTTTCGAGAACAACATTCAACTGTACAGCAAACACACAGAGTAGCCTATACCATAAACCAAGCACTCGATCGTAAAGAAAATACTGTACCTCCGTATTCCTAGATATAAAGCAAGCCTTTGATAAAGTCTAGGACAGAGGACTATTATATAAAATTAAACAGAATCTCCCCATAAATTACTACAAATTGATGTAGTCCGACATCAACGACAGGGAATCCAGAGTATGAATCAATCAAGCAATATCTATTAACTTTACTATAAACTCTGGGGTACCACAAGGCAGTGTAGTAGGACTACTATTATACCTACTCTATACGGCGGACCTACCAACGGATGTTAACACCACCACAGGAACCTTCGCAGATGGTACAGTCATCCTAGCAACCCATGCCGATCCAGCAAAGGCCACCAGTATCCTACAAAACCACTTAAACCAAATACAGGGATGGCTACACAAATGGAAAATTAAAATAAACGAGACTAAAACTATCCAAGTGAACTTTACACTAAGGCGAGAGCACTGTCCACAAGTAAGACTGAATAACAACAATATTCCACAGTCTCCAAGTGTTAAATATTTTGGAATCCATATGGATAGTAGACTCACTTGAAAAGACCACACAATCCATAAGCGCAAACAGACAGACTTGCAAACCAAGGAGCTAAATTGGTTAATTGGAAGAAGATCCAACCTATTCATAGAAAACAAAGTTCTGCTTTATAAGACAATAATCAAACCAATCTGGGCTTACGGAATCGAGCTCTGGGGTTGTGCCAGCAAATCAGATATATCAATAATCCAGAGAAGCCAGTCAGAAATACTTATAATTATAACAAATGCACCCTGGTATGTAAACAACCAAACGTTACATACAGATTTAAATATACCATACATCAAGGACGTCATCAGAGAAAAAAGTACCACACACCACAACAAACTAGCAAATCACCCAAACGACATACTACAGCCACTCGTTGAACCGCAGCACAATCGAAGACTCAGAAGATACTGGCCCGCTGACCTGAAAGAAAACTAAGAGGAACCTCCCACTGGGGAAGGGACTCATCACGTCATTAAAGAGCATCACAGCTCTTACGCCAGCAAACTAGCTTATAGAATTGTAGATTCTGATTCCTTACTAAATAAATAAAAAATATATTAAATTTCAGATTCTGTGGTGTGAATTAAACTCGAATTTCCTTTCCATACGTATCGCTACGTCATGAACATCTACTTTATATGTCCCTGTGCTTAACGAATTAAGCACTACGCCATGAAGGTGTATAAGGAAGTGGATGTATAGATCCATATTTTCTTGACCTTGTCACTAGCTGGAGGTGAGTGGTAAGCTTCATGCCCCGGCCGCTTTACCCCCAGGGAAAGTGCAATCGGTACCCATTGGATAAGAAGTTCGATGGACCCCAGAGCCGGCCTGGGCGTCTTGGAGAAGAGAAAATTATTGACACTACCGGGACTCGAATTCCAAACCCTCCGCCGTCCAGCCAGTCGCTATACCGACTACGCTACCCCGGCTCCTGTCTTATATACTAAATTAAAAAATTCGACTTATGAGCTGTGCCGAATTCGCAACAAAAAGTTCCAGAAATGCACCATGTCTGTCCGTCCATATGGTCGTAATAGGCGTTGGCGTCGGCGTCGGCACAGGGGACTAACCACAACTCGCATCTAGTCCCAAAGTTAAAAACTCGTTGTGCTATACCTCTTCTCTCTGTGCCCGACGTGGTGCTTTGCTGAGTATACAGACAACTTTACTTTCTGCTCTCAGTCGTCGCGTGCCGTCGGTTTATGCTTCCATGTCTGTGATCCAAAACTGGCTCGGACAGTCCAAGTACTGACTGTCCTTCATGTTCTAACGAGAAACGGAAACCCAGTCTGTTGCTGCTGAAATTTCTCCAGCTGCGCTCCAGAAATGTTATGCCCCTCCTCCAGTTCGTATTTCCATGAATTTCGTAATTAAACGACCCATGAACAATGTGTTCGGTGCAGACGAAACATGGCTGCGATGTGGGCTGGCAGTGAAGACAAGTAACACGTGCCCAGGAGTGGGCTGATCATCGCGTCAGTGTCAACAAAGCTGCCTAATCTGAGTGGGCGACTACTGTATCAATAGGCTACAACTCGCTCTTGTTTCGATTGAGCACACAGAGCAGATCTGTTATAGAGCAATTCTGAATCTCACTGTACCGTCATAGTCGGGACAACTGAATTCATTTCTAAAGGTTAGCAAAGCGGGTAAAATCTGAAGAGATCTGAAGGTTCTGAGATGTGACGCCATGTAGTCTGGTAGAAGTTAAGGTACGGAAGTAGTGTCTCCAGCTTCAAGGTTGAATATTAAGCCAAGAACTCTGGTATCAAGCGTCCTCAGATATGTCGATAAATTTCTACCACACTACCAGGCGTCACTGTGCTTGCCGGGCTTTTTCTTCGACCCTGAAGATGGAGGCAGTACTTTCCTCCGAAACTTCTATCACCCAAAAGCAGTGTCGTTCACAGCCACTGCGCGAGATAGTCATTTCTCACAAAATATGATACATTCCATTTTAGATCTTTCTGAGATGTCGTGTTGTGTCGCTGGGTAGAAATTCGCCGACATTTCGGAGAAACGTACTATTTCCTACTTCAGGTTAGAAGGTATATTACGCAGACGACTAAGAAACAAGCGGCTAAGAGGACGACCAGCCCAGCGGAAACCACGTCCCCACTTCTTCAAGTGCGAAGTACATACACTGTTCTGTGCCAACACCTTCTGCTGTCCTTGCGCCTACTGGTTCTGTCTGGCCTCCTTCACAGGTTCCCATGCGGTGCTTGTTTGCCTGCTATCTGGTTCTTGCTGGTTGTTTGCTTAGTATACCTTAGACCCTGGTGATAAAAACAGCACGTTCCTCTGAAATGTCGGTCAACTACCGGGACCCACAGCGTCACACACCCCCACAAGGCAGAATTCTTGACGACACGATGAAGGTACAATATAAGGGAAGTATATTACTCGTCACTCACCTCGAAGCTTATTTTCCCCGTCTGGTTGTGTTTGATCGTGTTAAACACATAGTGGGCATACTGGCTGGCATCTGTAACACAGAACAAGATAAGCAATGAGTTCTGGTTCTAGACACACTGGCTCAACAAACTGCTTAAAAGACTAAAACTGAAAAGTAAACTCGCTTGCCCACAAAACTGATGATCGATGTGACATATGTCAACTATATGAACATTCGCGCCTTTGCACCAGCTCCATTTCCAATGACCTTGGAATAACAGCCATAATGTCTGGCTCATAACTGTCTAAAACATCTTTGTGGGGACGTCATTCCTTGACTAAGCGGCCTTGTCGAAGAAAAGTCCCTGGGCATTCAAGGACATCAACAGTGTGGCGATTTCTGTTCTCATCATGTGTTGAAAATATGCTATAACCACCCTGGAATGATGACGTAACGATCTACATCACTATCTGACTATGACGCAACTTCAGAGATGTTTTAGGCAAGGCACTATAGAAGAACGACGACGTATGATGCCATTTTCGTGATAGGAGGCTGTGAAAAGTGGCAACATTTACGGAAGACCGGGAGTTCAACGTGGAGATGATCGAGTCGAGCCAGAGGAAAGCTTACGGATGTGAGAACAAGTACGTTTTCCGGGCGGACACCAACTCTAAGAAGTTTTCCTAAGACCAGTCAAAATAACACCCTGGAGAACCGGATAATTATTGCTGACGATGAAAATGAATCCCAAATAAACATCAGTCATGGTAAGATCCAGTGCAACAGTGACTTAACACCGAAACGAGAACAATTTATTCTGATAGATTCAGGATTTTTTGGACCGTTATAGTAGACCAGAACGGGAAAGCTTCGAAATGTGGTGTTGGAGAAGGATGGAGAAGATCAGTTGGACCGATTATGTGAGAAATGAAGAAGTGTTAATTAGAGTCAGTGAGCAGAGGAATATCCTACACGAAATAAGAAAACAGAAAGCTAATTGGATTGGTCATGTTTTACGCAGAAACTGCCTTCTAAAAGAAGTTATTGAAGGAAAGATAGAGGGGCGGATAGAAGTGACAAGAAGACGAGGAAGAAGACATAAGAAGATGCTGGATGACCTTGGGGACAGAAAAGGATACTGTCATTTGAATGAGAAAGCTCTAGATCGCATTAAGTGGAGGAATTGTTTTGGAAGAGACTGTGGACCTGTCGTCTGACAGATTATTGATGATGATGATGATGATACAAAATGCATTTAGACTGCATTTAAATTTTTATTTACGATTGTTTAATGAGGAAAATCATTTCCGTAGCATATTGTCTCTAAACCTACCTTGTTCAACTGAAGAGGTATCTATGGAGAACTGCGGAACCGTCACATAATTTCGTGATGAATTTAGAGTTTTATATTGTGAAAAAATCGCTGCATGTCCACGAAAATAAGTAGGCTTACCCTGCATAAATAACGCTTCATATGAATGCAGATGTTACTTATCGCTATTTTATACTGCACAAAACGATATACCAGTAAGTGGTAAAAGTTTATTGCATCAAGTGATCATATTTTTTTTTGTTTTTAGAAGCTGAGTTCAGCAAAATGTATCTAATTTTAAAGCACATATAGAGAAGAGACGGTTTAGGCAACATATGTACACATACATACATACACACACACATACACGAAATATGATCCCTGTGAACAGACAGCAGCCTGCGTTGTACAAAGTTTTACGCACGACTGATGGCGGAAAGGGATCTAGTTTCCGAAACTTTATGTATATCCCAGACAATGGCCAGAGTCCCGTATAATATTGGCGTAACGAATCGCGCATTGTCACAGGACCTTCGACAGTCACTAGAATCCTGTAAAGCACGTGGCGTCTGCTTCAACACTAATACAAATCTCTTCATTCTGTCGACACAGTGCATTTACGTGTTCTACATGATTCTCGCATTAAACAGCGATTATTTCTCTAATCACGATTAACCGGCTGGTCTTTTCAACTCGGCAACCTTAACGAAAATGACTCAAGACGGAACAAAAGACAAATAATAAGATTTGAGGTTTTCACAGCAATGATTATGAAGAATGCCGTCTTCTGGGATGTTGCGCCATGTAGATCTTATGTGAGCCGACGTTTCGGAGGAATATATCACCTCCATCTTCAGGGCAGAAAAATCCGCGAGCGAGGAAACAGCGTGAGCAGATGGCTGCAGCCCACAAAAATGTCACTTTTCTTCCTCTTTCCTTGTTTCTTTTGTCGGTTTTAGTCTTCGCAGCATCTACATTTGTTCTCTTCCCTGACTCGCTCTGGAAGAGACATTTCGTCACCAAAACCGAATTCTTACGGAGGGATCGCCGAGGAACGGCAGCCTTGCAGAAGACACTGTCTTCCCGACAGAAGGACCCGCTCACTTAGAACAGGAGATTGCAACTTCTTTTTGAGTCGCAGACCGTTCCTAATTTATACTTCCCGATGGAGCTTCCCGGCTTCAGTTGACGTCGCAGTGTAACAGGCGCTCTGAGACAGAGCTGAGAGCAAAGGTCGTTTCCGGTATGACGTCCGGATTAAATGGGCAGAACCCCGTAGATCTGAAGACAGCTACTGCAAATCTTGGAGTGTCAGTTTTCATCCGAGCTTCAGCTAATATTTTTGCAAAACTGAAGTCAAGGAATCCGTCTCCCTCCTCTAAGAAGCCTATGATAGAAGTTGCACAAATACAAATTGCTGCATGACAGTAAATGTAGCGAATGCTCGTTCTTAAGCGGAGCAAGGTTTTCTAGAAGTTCTTCTGCGTTTCAGAAATAAGCACAAACAGAACTACAGCACATTAATAGCTTACATTTTAAATATTAATATCCAGGAGTAGCCTTTGCTGAAAGATGAAGTGACTTCGAAGGAAAAGATATTCTTCGTCTAAAACATCTTTGAGGATATGTAGCGTCTTCAGGTGGCAACTTTATGAATGAAAAGTGTTATGCATTCAATGATATTTCCGGTAAGAAAATTTTATTCCTAGTTTTCACGCGTTTGATTGTAACTAGAGACAGGGCTAGGATTGGTAGTCGGATATAATGGACACATTTTAACACACAACTCGTGACTACACTTTACAAATCACTCACACACAGATTAAGTGTTCTTAGTCACGATCTTCATTAGCCGTTGCTTAGTAGTTTCTTTNCGTGTATGTAGTAAGTAACCCCATAATCCGGAATTTAGATATCGCTAGAGAAAGAAGAAAGAAGTGGGGGGGGGGGGGTAGTGAGAGACACTACATTGGGGGAGGGGGGGTAAGAAATTATATCTCCAGTTTTGGAGGTTCACAGGCAGTGCCCGCTTGTCCTTCTTGTGCAGGTAAAGCATATGATCGGATTCTGTGTTAGTTTGTTTTTATTTATTTATTTATTTATTATTTTTATGACGCTGGAAGGAGTGCATTATAGTAACATTTTAGCTAACGTTTGGAGGGCTATATCAGGCTGCATGTGAAGCATGCAGTGCAACTTTGAATTTGTGTACCAATTTAGCATTTGCTCTAGGCTCAACTGTCTGCCTGCAGACTCTCTGGAATACTCGGCACGGACAGCACAGAAAACACTGCTTCCGACAGCTCTTCTATTATTACGTGCGTGTGCACTTACGGCTATCAAGTGACGGCTACTGAGGCATCGCCTAACAACGGGTGTTTACATATCCGTTCCCTAGCAACGGCTGTCTCTGCTGGCTTTCAGCTGACATGCCACATAATATGTTTAAAGCCGAATCTAGTAACGTGGCGATGTACATCAGTATCTGTCTATGACGTAACAACATCACCGTCTGTGTCCCGCACACGGTAAATAACGGCATTTCAGTCCACCATCTTAATCATTATACATGCAGAACGTCAAGAGTTCAGTGAAGAGCTGGTAATAATTTGAATAGAAGCAAAAGATGGCAGCGATAAAGACAGATCCACGGAAATGAGTCCGTAGTGTGGACGCAAACAGCAACATTCTTCAGTACGCACTCCCGTCCTGTCAGGCTTAGTGAGCATGTAAAAACACAATTGTCCTTGTGCTTAACGAAACGTCGCCTCATGAAGACAGACGAATGATGAATTGGCAAGCCTGCCCGATCCATAGTCGGGGTAAAATTCAACCCCAGTACCTCCCGAATATGGTATAAGGGAGTTACCGGTATGCAGGGCCGCGCTATAGCTCAAGCGGTTAGTCGCTGGCTTCCCACCGCGGCGGCCCGGGTTCGATCCTGGGTCTGGTCAAGTGGGATTTGTGGTGGACAATGGCGCTGGGGCAGGTTTTCTCTGAGTGCTTCGGTTTCCCCTGCCAATCTTCATTCCACCAACTGCTCCACAATCACCCTCACCTATCATCTGGGGCTGGTACAATAGGCCAGAAGTGGCCGCAGTACAAGGGACTTAGTCCCACCCCACTAGCAATAAAGAAATACCGCTATGCATACACGCGCAATTGCAAGGATTCTTAGTTTTGGCAGTAGATGGATGTTAGTGCTCAGCTTCACACCCCGGCCGCTTTATTCCCGTGGAAAAAACTCGCTCGGTACCATCTGGGCAGGAGGTTAGGTGGAACCAACAGCCGGTTTAGCACATCAGTAGGTCTATAATTTTGGCTGTCCTTCCAAGGTTTTATAAGTTTTCTTCCCCCCCCCCCTGGCGCTACAGCCCTCATTTGGGCCTAGGCCTATCTCCATGAAACTCTCCGTTTTCACTTCGGTTTACTAGATCTTACATATTCAGTAGGACTCCTTGGGCAGGTGATCAGCTCGTCGCAAGGCCTCTACCTGTACACAAACACAGAAAAACGACACCAAACATCCATGCCCTGAGTGAGATTCGAACCCACGATCCCGGCTTCCGAGCGAGAGAAAACAGTACATGCCTTAGACCGCTCGGCTACCGTGACCGGCAAGGTTTTATAAGTTACTGACGCATATTTCTGACAAAGTTTGTGGTCAAAGAAAAAAACAGTTGCATGTGCAGGGCAAGTATTTTCTCAGTACAGTTGATGTTCCAGATTTAAAAGCCGTTGAAAACTGCAATAATTTCCGTTGGAATTTTAACGTACTTGCTGGTAGTCACTGAATAAATACAGTAATTACTGTGCTTCAGACGGGTAAGCATCACGGATCTTAGGAGTAATGAAACTTTAATAATCCGACCGACTGGTACGCAGATGGAAGTATATTTTTAACGCGTTGTCAGTTGGCAGTGACGCTAGGGGCTTCCAGACTTCGAACTGTGACGTGTGAATCATTCATACGGTCACATTTGAACATTTTCTTTCGTGACGAAAGGGGCGAGTGTTGGCTCAAACAGAACAGAAAGTGCATTAAAGCTAAAACAGAGAAGTAGTTCTAAACTCTTAGGAAAGTTTATTTTTTTACCACATACTGAAGATTAAGTAAGCTCGTTCCTCTAAAATGTTTCAACTTATCTACCAAATTACACGGCGTCACCTCAAAGAAGACATAAATCTTCTATGGGAGGAATATTTTAATCTGAAATCTAAGCTCACTTTATGTGGTGAAGCCACAGTGTTCACAGTGTGTCAGCTAACTGATAGCGTACAGTTCTATCGCCGTGTCTCCGGCTGTGTGAGGTACAGCGGCGACTTTGTGGAGACTCCATCTCAGCGAAACACACACACACACACTTCCATTCATTATGAAAAAATAACATTACTACATATCCGTTCCCAAAGCGGCTGTTCCAGTGCAAATGATACAGCATCGTTCAACAAGGAAATTATCAAACAAATTCATAAGTACCGAACTAAAAAAACAAAAAACTCCATGGCTGTAGTCCGCAAGCGAACTATACTGACCGAGCGACCGCCGCTTGTCGGCTAAGTTATTGCCAACTTTAGCGGATAGAGAGTGTCGCGTGGTCAGCGCAACAAATCTCCGCGGCCGTTAATTTCGGTTTTCTAGACCGGAGCCACTACTTTTCCATTCAAGTAGCTCCTCAATTATCTTCACGAGGCTATGTGGACCCCGTTCCATACCCACTACTTCTCAGAAAATGTGATAGCGCCGGGACTAGAACCCGGGACCTCTGGATCTGTAGCCAGGAACTCTGACCACTAGAAACTTCTTCGTTACTCGACGCGATATGCGGAAGGTATTTTCTATGTGAACACTATAGTACTCCCCTACTTCCTGATCAGTGGTCCCAAGCTTCAGCATAATTGCCTCTCACTTCTCCACTTTGTATAGCCAGAGAGAGAATAATCAGACGGCACCAGAACGTTTCACTACACTTAAAGTCCAGCACACAGTGGCACGGTGTTATAATACTGTGACGTGCCGCCTAAAAGTCGGAATATCGGAATCACAGCGGGCGTCCATTGCCAGCCAACGGCTCGGTAGTCATGTTTCTGCTACAGCAGGGAGCAGTGAATACATCGTTGCCTGAGTGACAACTGTAAATGCGTTCACGTGACAACGCGTACATAGGCAGACTGTTACCACGGAAATGACAACCAGAACTCTTCAGGGAGGTGTTTGCTAACCCAGCCACCCAGCAGGTATAAATGGGTGCCAGTTCAGAAGTCAGAAGTTCAGAAGTGAAGTAGCGTGCTTTCGAGAGGCAGACATCCCTCAAGCAAGCAGACGTTGAAGACCTTGTTTTGTGTATTATAGTTAAAGTAATCTGAGTATCTTATAATTATCTGTAGTTCCGCCTGGTGAGATTATCCAATAAATCAATTTGTCTAATCTGAAACCCATTAATTACGTGTCGCGTTACCAAGATACAACTGCCTCTGTGATCTAGTGGTCAGAGTTCCTGACTACAGGGTTCGATCCCCGGTGCTACAAGATTTTCTGAGAAGTACTGGGTCTGGAATGGGGTCCGCTAAGCCTCGTGAGGATAACTGAGGAGCTATTTCAAGTAATAGCGGCTCAGGACTAGAAAACCGAAACTAACGACAGTGGGGATTCGTTGCGCTGACCACGCGACACCCTCTATCTGCTAAAATTGGCACTAACTTAGCCGACAAACGGAGGTCGCTCGGTTGGTATAGTCCGCTTGCGGACTAAAACCACGGAGTTTGTTGTTACCAGGGTACGTGACAATATATTAACAGAGAGCGAGATATTAAATATACAATGCTATACCATAAATTTGCAAATTGTATCCTGTTTCATATCGCAATTTATATTTCATTTTCAGTGAAAGGAAAAGCAACATATTCAATACTATCAATGATACATGTAAATCTAACGTGAGTGTACGCAGAGAACCCATGACTTCTGCATTCGCTGAGAAAATTTGGCTGTTGTCTGAAGTGGCCCTAACTGGCAGTTTCTACTACATCTATCCCGAGGGCGCGGAAAGAAGTTCCGTGAATGGTGGGGATCAAACTCCCCACTCTCTGCCTACTGCTCTATTCCCCTTCAGACAGCCCAAAGCGTCTGTCGCTATGCCGGTGGTGGTCACGTGGTTATCACTACCATCATCCCTGTAACCAGAATGGCTAGACGAATGAAGAGGAATGTAGGGTAGTGCCCTGGAGGGGGAAGCGTTACAACTCGAAGGAGAGGTAGATCCATGAGGCCTCTTTCTGCGGTCTCAGTATAGTAACAGTGCCAAATGTAACGCAGACACATGTTTCAATGCAAGTTAATAAGTAACAGGATGCTTCGAAAGCAGGTACTCACCTCCTTGCGGGAAAAACTGTGAGAAGATGTTCTTGAACGATTCCTCGTCCACCATTCCGGTAGGGCATTCCTGTGACAAAAAAGATTATTACGTGATTTCGGTTAGACTGGCTCCATCAGGAAAGACAAAGTCTCTCTTATCAGCCGTGCCTTAGCTTAGGAGGTTAGTCACCGGTTTCGTGTCGTGCCTGTTCGGGTTCGATCCCAGGTTGGGTCATGTGGGATGTGTGGTGGATAAAGTGATATTGAGGTAGGTTTTCCCCCAGTACTTCGGTTTCCTCTGCCAATTCTAATTTCGCCGATTGTTTTACACTCATCTACTAGCCGGGACTATTACAATAGGCCCAATAATGGGCGGACTACAAAGTGAACTCAGTCTCAGCCTCATACTACGAATTAAAAAAGCCTTTATTATTTATTTCCTCGTACTTA